GCTTCATTTTGTTGGTTAAAACTGTGCATGTGGCGATACGAGCGTATAGTCGAGAAGCAAGAAATCCTAGTAGGCTTTAGCGCTTAGTTTTGACGTTATTGTTCACGTGCTTTATATTACTAAGATGTGAGGTGAATGCATCATGTTTGCAAACGGGTGTGAAAAAGAGGAGGAAACGAGCTTCTCGCCTTTCATCGCGTGGTGGTGAGCGACCCTTTAGGGGAACCAGCTCTCTATGGGCCAATTATTCTGCAAACATTTCAAAGTATTTGGCTTCCGCTGACGGGCGTTAACATGTCATGGTCGCACGTTATTTGTTTAGTTCTTGTGGGTCAGCAGTGTGCTCTAGCACTGTAACCACTTCTGAAAACTGGTGATATCAGCACACCGAATGCTGAAGGCAACATTCCTAAGCATCTCCGTTCTGTGTAGAAGCCAGAAGAATTGAGCATACACATGTTAATCAACTGAAGCATATTTAACTTCACAATACCACTGGATCACCACCCCTGAATCTGGCCATGGCATCAGGAGACAACTGCACAAAGCTCAACTGTAACGAGTATAAAAAACGCCATATTCCTCAGAAGGCGCAAAAGGCCTTAGCGAGAAACACACTGAGAAACACATTGCTAATAAAACGTCGGCATCAGCATGTGAGTCAATATGATTATTGTTTTTAGGCTTTTGACAGTAAAATGAGAGCGGAGATGGCACCTGACCAGACCTGCATAACTAAAAATTAAGCGGTGGAATTCACCGACGAGACTTTTTGAAGCATACTCAAAATTGCGAGTTTGGCACCATATAGTATCCCAAAAAATAGTAAGCTGACGGTATTCTAAGCTGGCAACCTCATTTTCACGGAATCCTTAAGTAAAAAAATTATTTATAACAAGAAATAGTAAGGTGACGGTATTCTAAACTGGTATCCTCATTTTCACGGAATCCTGAATTTTAAAAAAATATCTATAACAAGGAATAGTAAGGTAACGATATTCTAAACTAGTAACCTCACTTTCACGGAATCTTCAAGTAAAAAAATATCCATAACAAGAAATAGTAAGGTGACGGTATTCTAAACTAGTAACCTCATTTTCACGCAATCGTGAAGTAAAAAAAATATCTATAACAAGAAATAGTAAGGTGATGGTAATCTAAACTAGTCACCTCATGTTCACGGATTCCTGAATTTTAAAAAAAATATCTACAACAAGAAATTGTAAGGTGACGGTATTCCAAACTGGTAACCAGAATTTCACGGATTCGTGAATAAAAAATATCTACAACAAGAAATTGTAAGGGGACGGTATTCCAAACTGGTAACCTCAATTTCACGCACTCGTGAAGTAAAAAAATATCTATAGCAAGAAAGAGTAAGTTCACGGTATTCTAATCTGGTAACCTCACTTTCACGGAATTATGAAGTAAAAAAATATCTATAACAAGAAATAGTAAGGTGACGATATTCTAAACTGGTCCCCTCATTTTCACGGAATTCTGAAGTAAAAAAAAATATCTATAAAGTCAGGATTCAATAACAAAAACGGTGGCAGATACAGTTACATTGCAGGCCTGTCTAAGGACCACCGCGCGAGAGCGTCCGCCATTTCGTTTATAAGTATACCTCGGTGTCGTGGCACCTATACCAGCCATACTGTATTCAAGTGTTCAGAAATTAAAGAGGTGAAAGCATTCCAAACGCAGCACTCGAAATAAGACGTTGAAGTTATGGATCTGCATACGGAGAGTGAATCAGTAACTACACCAATAGTCGAATCATTTACTGAAAGTCGACTAAGTCCTAAAATAATTGCTAAAAGATCTCCTTGAAATATGGCGGATTAGTCCAGTGGCTGTTCTACTTTCGAACACACACACGTCACCGTCCTGTTCCTCGCAAAACCACCACATAGTGATAGCCACAACCCCAAAATATTTCATGCGCCACCCAGCAGCAATATAGGCAAGCTGCGTATGGAGGCCTAATAGCCCAAGCGCCAGTCGTATAAGTTAGAAGCACAGTATGATGGTGCCACCCCTGAAGAGAAAACGAACGGCCAAGCGGATTTCTTCTTTCCAGGTGAGGCACCTGTGTTAACTTGTAGCTCGATCCTAATAAATGACCATTGTACCTAGCGACTACATGTCGCTGCGTGCCCGACGTACGTAAACGAATTCCGCAGAGACAGGGTGCGCCATGTGCATTACACACACAACGCGACCGCTTCAAGAACGCCGCTCGCGCTTGCGGGACCACTGGGGCCGACTAAAATAAGACGCTCCACGTCGACAAGCCGCTATCTTCTACAAAGCAGCGCGAACCGTCATCACAATGCAGAAAACTCAATATATGTGTTAGTGACAGCGGATGCGGTGGTCTTCTTGAGTCTACCATTTATACTGCAACTTCGCAGCACCTCTCATGTTCTTTTGAGAAGCGAATAGGCACGGATAATGGGTGAGCCCCATTCCGTGCAACTAGGACTTCGTTTCCACTTGAAGCAACGCCGCAGTTGCCACAGGTAGGCGAATATGCATAGCGGATTAGTGCATGCGTTTGCGAATTAGCGAAATCTCCCACTCTTAGCCCTTTAATGCCTGAATTATAAAGCCGCCGAGCAGGAAAAAAATTGTGTAACTTTTTCAGCTTTAGGCAACAACCTTTCAATGATTACAAGTATCTAAAACTGAAACTATAGTGCATATTTTTGCGTATGTCACGCATTCTCCTTATGCCACGGAAGTGAGAACCCCGCAATTGAATACGTACTTCATAACTACGTAACATGTTGCTTACCACCTCTTGAGGGTGCACACACCAAATAAACAAATTCGTTGAAGATATAACTTACGTAAACTAGGCGAGAAAGGACGACGAAGTGAGAGTTGATGGACGCGCTTCGCGCTCCCTTCTATGAACTCCAAAACAATTAGTTTTAACACACAATACCTTGAACGAGATACTACTAGTTGTTTCGCGCTGAAAGTTACATGCCGCGTGAATGCTTGGCAGCCGGCAATAAAAGTGGCACGCATTTTGTTAATTACTTGCTTGAAGTTTTCTGTATCCGGCAGTAAAGAGTTAAATATATTGTACAGATAACCTAGATTAAGCCTTAAAGGATTCTTCTTTTTAATTATATGTAAAATACATTATTTGAACTATTCATTTCAAAACTAGTCGGTGAAATTGCAATTTACTTTGGATTCTGTTCGAACGTAAACTTACCCTTCGCTCGTCCTCCTTATTTAAATGTGTAGGAACATGGATATTTCGAGCACATTTCGTGCACATCCATTATTTAGGATATGTGTGGATTAGGAATTCGTAACTATACTGTTCAACGTGTTTTATAGATTTTGTAGGATCAGTCTGCGTTAGAATTGAGAATTTGAATTTCATTTGTCCTGTCTTTGAAGCCTACGTACACGCTCATAGGCTTCATGTCTTTGTCATTCTTGGTCTTCGAATCCTAATCAAGTCTCTGTTAAGCTTTTTAACTTCAGTGACGATCATAAACCTTCTGTTTAGTTATTATTTAGCCTTCCGTGTATATTTGCAGGCCTTTCAAATATAGTTGCTTTTGCTTTCTACAGGAATTGTGTGGAAGTAAGTTTGTATTCCTAACACGTACTATCGCGCTACTCGTAAGCTACACTGCACAACCGCGTGTACGAGCGCACCTCAGGATTGTTAGTCAAGAATATCAGTACATATTTCTGAGGTATCGGGAGACAGCTTGGCTGTGTCTGTCAGCACGTATCACTCACAACTGGATGCGTTTATCAGCGCACTCATTAAATCAAAGGAAGTTTTCGCAATTCATTGTGCGAAACTTTTTAAGTTGGGGCGTCAAGGCACGGCGGTAGTGATTATTCTCCAAACCGATTATACGAGAGGGCAAAACGAGGACGAGCGCTTGAGCTAGTGGAGGGGATCCGACCTCATACGCACAGCCATGACTCGCCTTGATAATTTAAAAAGATCACACGATCGGCGCTGCTGTACAACCTTGCAGTGTACTTTTCCAGGCTATCCCGCAGTGTAGCCTACAATGAGCGCGAAAGTTTGGTAATGGCTGTAAGAAGCTTTCCAAACACTTTTTCGTAATCAGTTGCATTGTAAATATTCTGTTTATTTGGAATTATGTCGGCGCCTTTCAGTCAGATACGTTTCATTAAACAAAGTCACCCTAACCTTCCTGCTTAATTTCACATATTCTTCGAACCTTCTGAGCATCCTCCAATGCATTGGATATACAATGTCATGACTTGTGAACGCTGGAAGGTTAAAGCGGAGCTATACTTGCGGAAACTTTCCTTGGCATTGTAGAGAAGGCCACAGAGTCGAATGGCGCGTCTCCCTCCGCTAATGAGTGTAGTCCCAAGATTGTGCCATTACTTGCTGTGGGAGCTAGGAAAAATACTGCCTTCATTTATCGCAACTACCTGTTTGACACAAAACGCAGCTCACATCAGGAAAATAATCGTATGTGCTTGAATTGATTCGTCACTTCGCGTCTTTTATTCATGAAACAACTGCGCCTTTTACGTGAATACCTCGAACGCCAAGCTCCGTCTGCGTAGACATGAAACACTTACCGCGTACAGTCATCACTTTCCACAGTGCTACGAAACGCATGATCGACCGGACTGTATCGCGTAGTCGTAATTGAGTATAGAAGCTCCACCTCCGTACCTTTCCCTACATTACCAAGAAGACTCGTATAAGACTTGTGTGTGACCTTACCCTTCAACTGTGCATAGGTCGCGGGCCATAGGCAACAACGTGATGCCGTTTCCCGTCCTTACAAGCGTGTGTTGTCGTAATAAACAGAAATTTCAAATACGGTTTGCTGTTCCTAACGGAAAACAGCGCTATTGTTCGATATCATTCTTAACCTTTTCAGGCTAAGCTCCTACTTTAAGCAAAACTTTGTCTAAAAAGCCCGTGCCACAAGTGCAGTTGAAACAAAAAAACACTATTTGGTTCTCACCATTATTCGGCTCCATTGTAGCAGATGCCGATCGAAGTGTTGTATCTGTTCTTATCAGCTTAATATCTGATGGGGATCCTATTTCGATCCAAGATATTAAACTTATTTTTGTAATGCGGCGGAGTGCTTGAAGCTTGCTTGACCTCCGCCACGGGTTGGCCCAGGTATTGCACTACCTCCGGAATCGGCCCACTCACGCCTGCAGAAGGAGCTTCGTCATCGTTGTCGTCGTTAGCGTCTCAGGGCGTCCCTGGGCTGGCGGACGCCCATAATGGCAAGCCAGCTCCCGAAGAAGGCACTAGCCTTCGATGTAGTCGTCCCCGAGGGGACTAGTCCCGAAGACGTCGTTGACGCGACGTCTTCAATAGTAGGAATCGAAGAAGTGTACTACGTTCAGAACTTTGGAGGCCGGAACTACCAAGTTACCGTCAACAGTGAGGCCACACTGGCCCAAATCGTTGACGCGTCGCACCTTATCATCCGAGGAGAGCGCGCCGCCATCGTACCCCTGGGACCCCAAGTGACCCAAGTGACCGTCCTGCTCCTGCCGTGCCCCGTACCCAGCGAAGCCCTCGCAAAAGCACTCTCTCCCTACGGGAAGGTGCTGCACATCACCAGAGGACTCATGGGATTGCGCCCATCCGTGACCACTGGGACGCAACACGTCCGCATGGAAATGAAGGCTTCTTCACCGGTGCCCAACTACCTCAAGGTCGCGGGCCATCGAGTAACCTGTGACTATAAAGGCATCTAGCGAGTGTGCTGTCGATGTGCAGACAGTGGGCACTTCCGCATGAACTGCACAGCTCCGTTTTGTGGAAGGTGCGGCGTTTATGGCCACGACGGGAAAGGCTGCTCGCTGCCGTGTCGCCATTGTGGGGACCCGCATGCCACCGTGGCCTGCACCATCAGGCCATTGTATTCCGAGGCGGCATCCAAGAATTTCCCTCCATTTCAACCAGGAACGCCATCTAAGAACAAGTGTGACGATTCGCCAACGCGAGCCGCGGTAACCGACCACGACCAAGGTGCGCCAATCGCGACGCTGCACCAGACGCCCACTGCGTCCCCAACGATTCCGGACCTGGTAATCCCTCCACGTACTGAAAACTTAAGTTTCCAGCGTCCCGTGGCCACTTCTGAGGAATCGCAGGCCAAGCCCTCGTCAGACGAAGCGCCTCGTGAGGACGGCGTCTCGGATGAAAATATTGTATCTGACGCTCCTCGCGTTGCTGCTCTGTCGACAACAAGCTCAGGTGTCATCGAGGAGTCTACATCTCAAGACGACGACGCCTGCATCTACGAGGACTCTAACAGCACCGCGAGGGAGGCACCCCTACAAATTGACGAAGACACTAGCGCCAGTGACATAAGCTAGGACAGGTGGAGACGCATTTGTACCATCCTCGCTCAAGAACCTGGACTCCAAACGCCACCGGATAACTACTCGTGACTTAGAAGCCCCCACCAGAGACAGAAGTCCCCTGCGGACTTCGACGTGATTTCGGAAGCCCCGTGCCTCCGGTGGATTGCCTGGCCGGAAAAAATGACTCAGCCACTTGCAGGGCACCGGCTCCCGCACGTGATAAAGGTACCTCTGCATTTGCGTGATCCTATACTATGTTTTCATTTTCCCCGTGGCTCTTACTCTAAAGGTTATTACTTTTAACGTTCAAGGTTTTGGCAATCCACAAAAATAGGCTGAGGTATTGGCTTTTGTGCATTCAGTGCACTGTGATTTGCTGTTCCTGCAAAAAACACATTTTTTCAAGCTTTGTGATGTACTCGCTTTCAAGCGCGCGTTCAATATTGATTGTTTCTTTTCGTACGCCAGCACGCGCTCGACTGGCGTCAGAGTCATTCTTTTAACCGAGGTCTTTTACGTGACCATCATGTTTCCTTCGATGCCTTCGGACGCGTGCTGGCTTTCGACTGCACCTTTTTTTGTTAAGAATAAGATTTGTTGCCGTGTATGCCCCAGCGGCACGCGTGAACTCAAACGCGTTTTTCCAATCTCTTGACGCGTTCCTTTTAAATTCCCAACGTGTGGTACTTTTAGGAGATTTCAATTGTGTCTTAGACTCACACGCAGACGTTCGAGGTCCGGGTCGCGGCCGGTCACACTGGAATGCCAGAGAACTCGAACGTCTAGTGCAGCAACTAGCATTGAGTGACATTCATCGAAGTGTGCATGGCAGTAATTATGCCTATACTTGATGTCGAGCAGCGTCGAGCAGCCGAATCGATCACGTGTATGCATCCCCCAGTCTCATTCCCTACGTTCACGACACCGGAGTAATGTCATTGCCACCGACACCAGTGTACATTAGCGACCATCGGCCGGTTATGTTCTCTCTCAGCCTGCCACTGGGGACGCCAACGATTCACAGACCATGGCGTCTCGATTGCCGCGTCCTCCTGGACTCTCAGGCTACGGAGAAATTATCCCGAGCGTTACGCGCATCGCTCATTGAGGCAGATGTAGCTGATTGGGATCGCCTCAAAAAACAGTGCCGCCATCATTGCAGTGCGTCGGGCAGAGGACTTTGCACCCGTATGTCGAAAGACACGTCATTGTTAATCCAGAAGATACGCATTGCCAATCGAGATTCCTGTCCTTCCACTGTAATGCGGGCATGACAAGAGGAGCTCGTTGAACGGTACCAATGTATTATGCGCGCTTCTTCACTCTCGGCTGCTGCTTGGCGCTGTAGACGTGCACCGTGTGCGCACCCTGAGGTGCTAAGGTATGCACGAAGAGCTCTGCTTTGTCCACCAGGCTCGCCTGCCCACTCGCTGAACTCTCCCGCCCCAGCTGCTGCGGTTACGCGTGACTTTCAGGAATTCACTCAACAGCTCCAGTCAATAGCTCAATCGGGGGCTAATGTCTGTTTCCCAGGATCCGTTTCTTCGCATCCTCTGCTAAAAGATTTACCTCATGATTCCAACATGTCAAATGACGTCCTGCTATCACCGCCATCCGATGATGAAATCAAGGGTGCATTAGACGCAATGAAAAAGGGATCGGCCCCAGGGCCTGACGGACTCCCTGCAGAGTTTTATGTACAGTTATGGCCCATCATTGGTCCAACTATGTCACGTGTCATTTGCAAGTGTTTCCAAGATGTTACACTTCCAACCTCTTTCCACAAAGGCCGTATAACACTAGTTTCCAAGAAAGGCCCAATGTCCACGCGACCAGAAGATTGGCGCCCTATTACCCTGCTCAATGTAGATTACAAGCTCTTGGCTACCATTTTGTTGCGCGGAATCAGTCCATTTCTTGACACATTATTCGCTCCCCACCAGGTCTGTTCTGTTCCAGGCCGAGAAATGCACACCCATACGTGGTTAACGTGTGCCATCATTCAATACACCATTAGCCGATGTGCGCAAGGACTGTTGGTTTCATTAGATCAAGAAAAAGCTTTTGATTTCATAGAACATGGCTGCGTACTAAATGTTTTACATGCATACAGATTCCCGGATAAGTTCATTGCCCTCATCCATGCGATGTACACTAATTTAGAAAGTACCCTTTACTTAGATTCCCGTGAGAGTCACGCATTTAGAGTCACGCGTGTGGTCCGTCAAGGGTGTCTCCTCTCCCCAGTGTTATTTATCCTTGCATAAGAGTCCTTCTTAAGGGCCGTTGAACATCACCCGCAGATTCTTGGCTTACCTCTACACGGTAACACTCAAGTAAAGGTCGCTGCATATGCAGTATATATTACTTTATAAGTACATAATGAACAGTCGCTGCAGCATGCTCTTGATACATTCCATGATTTTTGTATTCTCTCCGGTGCAAATTATGCTTTTCTAAAAGCCAGTATTTTTTCATTAGCAACCCCAGCGGTCGTATCAACATCACGTCGCCTTTACAGTGGTCTCCTGATATTTCAATACTCGGAGTTACTTTCACTGTATTTAGTATGCAGGATAGCATCTGGTCATTCGTTGTACAAACTCCTCTTAATGATATCAAAGCAGCCAGGTACTTCGAATTCTCTCTCTTGGAACACCGATGCTTAACTCAAATGGTGTACCTAGGAAAATTTTGCTGCCTTCGCCATTCTGTTAAACCACCGCTCAACGTCTGCAAGAAAGTGCAAAGCTGCATCAGTTCATTTTTTGGTCCGGTGGCACAGAATGGTTATCGCGTCCAGCGTTAGCTCAACCACGAGATCAAGGCGGTTTTGATTTCCCCGACCTTTCCGTCACGGCTTCTACATTGTGCCTCCGCACTCTATTGCGAATACTAATCAATGATGACATGCCCGCTCAGACACTGGCTCGCTACCATCTGGGGCCATCACTACGTGTCTTCTTGTCGGATAGCCAAATAAACAATGGTCCCCAATCAACTGATTTACCATCTTTGTATCAAGCCCTTCTGGCGTTTCACCGTCGTTTGGAACCTACGTGCCCAGAGATAGAGGTGGCCGATTCTAAAGTGGTGGACACAATGGCCGCCCTTCTACGGCCTTTCGTGCCCCAGCATCGTCAATCTGTATTGAACCGCACTTGGAAACCAATAACTGCCGCAGTGTTGCCAGGGCATCTCAAAGACTTTGTCTGCAGGTTGGGCTGGGGCTTGCTCCCCACGCGAGATCGGTTGCAGCGATGGCAGGTGGTTCGCACTTCCACTTGCCCCAACCGCGTCATGGTAGAGACCAATCGACATGCGACGTTTGAATGTGTGGTTTCCCGCCTTTTTTCGGAGTGCGGTTAATGCTGGTTTTCGGGGACAGGGTGTGCGAACTTTCGTGTCCAACGGCCAATTTCCGCGTAGCCGCTTCTCCGCTCTCTTAATAGTTGCGGGGCTGTTCAGCCTTTGGAGAAACCGATATGAGGCCGTAGCTGCCAATTGCCGCCAGCGTGCCTTGCGGCCGATACTGAGGAGAATGAGACGAGAGATCCTCGCGTTCCTCTCCGAGGAGATTTTCTTCCTCGAGGAGCAAGAGTTTCTGCGGCATTGGTTGTGCCCTTTCGTCAAGGTGGAATACGAAAGGATACAACTCATTTTTCGACCGACTTGGTGCTAAGCAGCGCCCGTTGAGTTGTTATATATGATTTGATTTGTTACAAATTGTGTTTCATTTGAATCTATTGTATCGTTATACCCCTGTATTGTGACATCACATTGAATTCTTGTGTACATGTATGCCAACATAATCATGTATATTAGAGCAAAT